TTCAGCAGCAAATGAAGCATACACTCGATCAAAATATTTTCAACGGCTTCTGTGAGTCTAGTAATTAGATTGTTAAGCCTAACTGAATTCCCAAGGCTACCAAGAGGGGGGGTGAATTGGTAGTTTTAAAAAAACAAAGTAAAATTTGAAGACCCCTTTTTAAAAAATTATTGAACGAAATAAAATCTCTTTTTAAATTTTGTAGAAAAAGGTTTTTCAACGCACAGAGGTTTTTAAAACTGAAATAGAAAGTACGGAAACATAAAACAGCTAAAGTAAATGACACCAAAGATTTATAGTGGTTCGGTCTATAACCAGACCTACATCCACCTCCACAGAGGCCCTCTGAGTATTGCACTAATACCAATAGTGATCTCCTTTTGCATGCTTTGTTACGCACAGCAAGGTGGGAGAAAAGCCTTTACAACACACTCTTTTTCACCACTCCCCGGTGCGGCAGAGTATCCGTCGCCTTTTACACAATACCCAGTGTTGGCAGAGAACCGTCCGTCCTTTCACACTATCCCCAGTGTGGGCAGAGAACCCTTCGTCTTTAACACTCTCCTAGTGTGGGCAGAGAACCTTCCGTCCTTCACACTCTCCTAGTGTGGGCAGAGAACCCTTTCGGCTGTTCAACTCTCCAAGTATCCGGCAGAGAACCGGATTCTCCTTGACAATCTCTCAAAGAATCTAGAAGGAGAAAGAAAAGAGTGAAGTAATCCCAATTCAACAGAAAGACTCTTCAACCTTTGAAATCCAAGTGAAGCTTCTCGCTTCAAGTGGTAGGAATCTCCTTGAATGCTCTCTTCACTCTCTCCTTGGCTATTCTCTCAAATGAGGCACAAGCTCCAAATGACAAAAGATTGGGTGGCAGTCTAATTTGGACTATTATACAAAAGACAAGAAAAACCGCCCAAAAACTGCAAGTATTCAATTCTGTCGCAGTGGATCGTCCTGTACGATCGTGGATCATCCTGGACTATTTTACTTAAACGTCTGAAACGACCCTATTTGTATATGTGTACGAAATGTCTTCGTCCAGCTGATCGTCCTGTACGAACTAGGTTCGTCCAGTACGAACGGTTATTACAAGGTGAATTCAAGAACTGCTGAAAACTGGTCGCCTAAGTCGGTTTAATCGTTTGGACGAAAATTGATTCTCTGGACGAAATTTTTACAGAGGACTGATCGTCCTTATGATACAATTAATTCGTCTGGACAAAAAATTTCCCGAGGACTGATCGTCCTGGACGATAATTTATTTTCGTTTGGACGAAAATTTTCCAGAGACCCAATCGTTCTGGACGATAATTAATTTCGTCTGGACGAATTTTACAGAGAACCTATGTCCTGGACGATAATTTATTTCGTCTGGACGAAAATTTTCTTAGAGAGCCCAATCGTACTGGACGATATTATTTGTCTAGATGAATAGCAACTTAGAAAAAATTTTAGCAAGTTCCTATCTCGTTCCATATGTTCTATAGGAATAACTGTCTGATCGTTCGGTACGAATCTGCAGAATCGGTCCTGTCGATCAGTATAAATTCTAACATGATCTCCTTATGTGTGAATGTTTTTTATTTTATCAACATACAATCACTGCCTTTCAATTTGACTTTCTAAGAAAATCACAAGCTTTAAATTTTTAAAGTATCTCATGCTGAATTTAATCTTGAAGTCTTCATAGTTCTGGAGTTCGTTTTTCCTGAAATTGTCAGTACACACAAGAAGCAAATACAATTCTTCCAAAAATTGTTAGGAAATAACTACAATTTGAACATAATGTTTGAAAATCATCAAAACTTTATAGTTTGCAAAAATGAAAAAACGATGCAAATAGCAACTTCTTAACAATCTCCCCCTTTTTTTGTGATGGCAAAACAATTATTGTTTGTATGATTTTCAATTTAACAAATCTTTCTTATCTCCTAAACTCCCCGCTGAATTGATGAATACATG